GATCTCTTGGCAAAAATCGGTTATATAAGGGTCCCGTTCTCCGGACCTGAAGAGAAATTGAATCATAAGGTCGTTCCCGTGAGCTAACGTTGCGGGACACGTAACGCGTCGCGTGTAAAATAACGTAAGACGTGTAACGATCGCCCGTGGCTCGTACCAGCGGTAACACACATCGGCACGGGATGAAACACGATCGTGTCAGGTGAACCGTGTGTGTTCTGCGCAACACAGTCCATGGCGTGACCTTATACACTCGCCGCGGAGAACTCTTCCGCGAAGAAAGCTCGAGATATCCCTGCACACGTGGGGACTTACCGGCTGGTTACACATCGTGCTTAGAAATCGTTGCTATTAAAATGCGAATATGGGTGTGTCGCGATGAGACACCTTGACATCGTCATAGTTATTTCTCGATGGGATGTCCGCATGCTAAAAAATCGCACGTGTATTCTTCTGGTGACGAGACATTCTCTTCCTTTCACGTAATCCACCTGATCCGAATGCGTTCCCAATGAATTCATTGCTTGAGTCACTTTCGGTGTGTCCACATAGGATATTCGTCCAAGTTAGACCTAAAGATATCGTCACGGAATATTACCATACGTGGTTGCATCTAAGCGTACAAGTTCAGTGGTATGACTCAGTTTTGTAGAAATTGCATAAGTTAAGGGAAGAGAAAGAACACGATAGTATTACGTGATAGGTTTAGTCGTGGCGTGCGTATGTGTGTACGTATCTGCATCGAGGAGGGCATTGAAAGGAGCCTCGAGATGGAAGATTGCATTCCTGGCAAGGGCGTTTGCAGGTTATACTCTTCGGAACGGTCGAAAGAAAACGAAGAAGAAGATATCTCGAGGCTTCTCGGACTGAAATTCTTTTGTATCGGGAGAGATCGAGGTTAAAAGGAAATAGGCGATAAATTGCAAATATAACTTTCTTATTTCTTCTCTGGTGAATTCATAAATTTATATTTGCACACTATTCACTTTTTATTTCGAGGCACCTTGGCAAATTTATGCTTCTGGTTTTATCGGTTCTTCACGAAGACAGCGAACGTCGTTGTGTTTAACTACTTCTAGAATATTTATGAGTAGCTTCTGAATTTTCATTTTTTCCGAACTACGCGACGCAGAAACTGATTTGTAGAATGTTAATTACTGATTAGTCAGAAGTTACTGCGTCGCGAGGTATTGTCGGTTCATAAATAAAATTGCGATACAACAGAAGTATCGAATTCGAATAGTTTTTTCCTCGGGTAACACAGTTCTTCGAATCGTACATTTTCCCTGTTTCGAAATCAAAAAATTTCTACCGTGAGTCAGGTAGGGAATTCACGAGGATACTTTCTATGACTCTGTTAGGCATTTTTATCGAGTTACGTAGTCTTTGATCCACTTGTTTATCGCGATATAATTGATACATTCCCGTGCAAAAAGCGAGACTTTTCGACGAAACAGAAGAAACTAATCTTCCAAGTGTTGTGCAACAACGAACTAGTTTCATTCGCATACACCTAAGCAAACACGCGTTGGAAAATGGTTTGTCAAGCGGGAATTAGAATACATTATCCTCGCCTTGTGACCCTGATAGCGTGCAAATAATATGATAGATCAATTTGCGTCATTTCAACGACAATTACTGGTCGTTTAAGGATGCAACGTGCAGGGAACAGGTGACGACACTCGACCTTCTCCTAGACACGCCACGGGGATACAGTCTTCACCTTCCTTTTTTTGTCATCTGTTTTATGTAACATCGTCAGCTTTTTTTATAAATATTGATGCACAAGTGTATCATTTAAGATTATTTGTAGGTCTGTAGGATTATGAGGGTAGAGATAAGTTTGTAGGTCCAAAGATCTGTAGATTTATAATGTATAGAATTAAGATTATAAGTATGTACTAAGTTTTATCATTGTAAAGGTCTAAGGTCCAAGGATTAAACACCAGCAGACTATATATGGACCTTAGATCTACATTTAATCTGCGCAATGAGATGTTAGTCCATAGATAATATTATGTATCAACAAACGTTGAATCGTTCCTTTTACCATTCGACAGAAACAACTTGTAGTTGACCTTCTGAGACCGAATCTGGGTACAAAAGGAACGGAAGGGAATAAAGAAGGCGGTGGCATTGCAAGGCTGCAGTTCTGATCGTCGGGTTTTGCAATCCTCGTGATGCAATCGAACCCAAGTGTCTCCTCACGACACTGAAACCCACCTGTATGTTCTTTAGTGGGAGTAGTCAGCCTTGCTTCCACTTTATTTTGTATTTTCAAGTGGGACTCGATCGCGTTGGCAGTTATCGTGATTGCAGTTTTCCATCGTGAACCTTACACGGTGCGCGATAAAGTTAAAAAATGAAAATATTCTAAGAAACACTTGTAAGTCTCCGGCGATTACTTATGCGTTAATGGGTTTAAAAGCACGTAGCTGAAACGTAAAAGTATATAGTGTCACGGTGCGTTATGGGGCACCGTAGAGCGACTGCTAGTAACAATGGTGCGTTCGACTTTCTCTTTTCTGTCTCGATGATAGTCGACCGGATATCGGGTCTAGATTGATGCACGAAACGCTGTACCGGGAACAATTTACAGCGGCATATTTTACGAACTTGAAATTCCAGGTTCGCTAGCTTTTAAGTTACTGAAACTTCAACCGATCCGATAATTGCAGAATCATGTTTCGGTGCCGATACCGGATTTATCTTAGCGACGACATACTCGGTATCCGTTACCGGCAGGAAATATCAGGCTTCTTGGAAGTTGTATATTTTGCCAGCTGCGAAATCGATTCTTTACAACGGTATTACCTTTGATGTAATCCATTAGTCATTTGCATGAATTTTCCACTCGTTTCTCTTTGTAATTGTCTGTCACTCATGGGTAATGTTATCTTTGACTAGCTATGATGTAAGTACCTTGCTGAATTAGGTTCAGATGTTAGATTATTTGTAGGATCTTCTTGAGATCGCTCGAAGAACTCGTGGATCTTGAAATGTTACATCTTTAGGATTTCCCTAGAGTCTCTCGAGAGTCTAGAATCTAGGGTGTCGGTGAACAGAGTCAACTTCTCACCCGATGCGTCACAAGTGACCCCCAAGTGAAAGATTCCTCGCGACAAGTCTATCATGTCTTCCGCATTCGTAATTTCTCGGTAAATCCACACGGTAACGAAGAAAGTTGTTTCAGACCGTTCTCCTTCTCTCTTTCTAGCAACCACAACCCGTATCACTGGCTCGCATGAATTCTAATCGGTTTTTACGTAATATCAGCGAGGACTGCGTGCAAGGAATGCATGGTTGCGCTTCTTTTACCGCAGCCTGAAAGGCTTCACCGGTTTTCCAACCTATGCAACTGGTGTACACTCGTTCATAAATCAGTCTATGTTGTTTTAATGTTCTTATCGTTAGCCTGATTTGTTTCTCTCGGCAATCCTGAACACGTTAGGCCTGTGGAATTCGTCAGACAAATGTATTTGATCGTTCTACCGTTGCAATCACGGCTTTGATTTGTGTAATCTTTTTAATTTATTCGTTATTGCTAACCGAAACACATACGGTCTTAATTGCTGCACAATTACAGTAATTCTTAATGCAATTTTCACTTGCTTCGTACTAATAAACTTGTTACATCAAATTTTGGTATATTTTATCACGGTATTTATTACCTTTTAGGGCCAATGTCGATAATCTTAAGAATGTAATAATAAATCCATAAATCTTGGTTTAATAATACCTTAACGCTCTTAAGAAGTCGAAGGTCATATTTGCGGAGGAATAAGATAAAAATTGTATTTATGATTCATATATTTGCTGTTCCCTTTTTATCACACAACTAATTGTTTCATTTTTCTGTTACAGGTAAGACATTCTACTTCCAAAGCTGTATGGAATTTTCTGGAACAACAGGCCTCGTAAGATACAAATATGTGTCCAGTTTTGAAGATACTAACACTTTACGTACCGATAATTTATCCATGTCTATATAAGGATTTGGAAACAGAAAGTCGTGTAACAGATAATGCACTGATTATCTGTTGCAATTGTCACACGCAATTTTTAATCGGTTTATCTGTTATAAATAGCTGTGACAATATCTAGGTATTAGAGGACTGATAAGTAATATATAACGCAAACTTAATACCAAACGTTGTTAGGATTATAAGTTGAAAAAGAATTGGAAATTATTCAAATTGCTGATCGAATAATGTGAAGAAAATTTTAATGAATTGTACAAGGAATAAACCACTGTCGATGAAACAAAACGTTAAAGTCGTCGAAAGAATCTTTAGAATTAGAAATGAAAGTTGCGAAGTTCCAAAAGTCTATTGCGTGAAAGCAACGTTCGGTGTTGAAAGGCCTCAGATTCGTCTAATCCTGGCACAGTCATAAATGCCAAATTTATCATAGTTTCTTAGACAGTTGTGAATGTAGCGAATGGTCAGAACATCGAAGAAGCTAATCCGTGAAACGGTAATGGACGATTTCCAGTTTGTTAAGCTGTTTATGATCATGAGTGCCTTCGCTTCAATTGCTAATGAATGTTGCAAAAGAAGAAGAGAGCGAAGGAGGACTTTTTGTGGCACTGCCAGGCACAGTGTATCGTGGAAATAAAAAGAAACGCTGCAGCGGAATGTTTTGCATAATTCCAATGATGAAACAAGATCAGGAAGAGCAGAAACTATGAAGCAGGAAAAAGACTCATTGCGATGGAATGTTGCATAAGCATCCCTTTTTTCTCTTCTTTTTGAAGTCTCTTTTCTCACAAACTAGCTTAAATGTTGATTAGTTAGGTTATCAGCTCGCTGTGTATTAACGTAAATGCTAACATAGGAACTACGTTGCTTTTCTGTACATTAAACTTTGTTGGTCATCGATTAAATTAACGAGATTGGACTTAATTGAGGGTAGTCTACTAATTAGATCAGATTCGATGTAGGTAGAGTATAAATTAGATTGAACTCAATATAGGCTGCGTTTCGATTACAACCGAACACGCTTGTACAAATAAGATAGGAATTACACTCGGCTAGATGTGAATTAATTTACTGTAAATTATACTAACTCCGACTCATGTTTTATTTATAATCGATACTCGTATGGTCTTAGAATTGGCACTGTAAATAGGTCGATGAACAAAAGTAGACTGCGTCGACTCTCTGCTCTTAGAAATCTTAGGGTCTAGTTTTATATCAGGTTGAGCTCCACTGAGAGCCTAATAAACCTATATTTTTTATGCATGTAGAAAATGATTTCGTAAGGCGGATTCAAATGTATTGTAGATTTCTATTTCCCAGGCATGGTCGGTGAATGCGTTTTATATTTTCACTGCGGTGCAGATTAGAAAATTGTTTTTCCAATTTAAGAGAAAGTCCCGGTCATTTCCTGGATCTTGTTGCTTGATCAAGACGAATGGAATCAAGTTCAAAAAACGCCTCAGAATCGTCGATTGATATCAACTTTCTATTTAATAATGCGGTACCAGTGGTTTCATTGAAACGCTTTGTAAAAATGTCCCTCGTCAGATTATCTTCCAGAAATGGCTTCCGAGTCTCCTGTGCAATTTCGAGTGCATCGACGCCTGATAGCAGAATTTCATTAACATTCCCGTTTCCTTAGTGTTCGAGTGCATACAGGTAAAAGCTCCTGAAATTCCAGTGTATCCGTTTCTCCTTCAACCTACTAAATCTTGCTCTTCTAGTTAACATCGGCCTATCTGGATGCGTGTCGTTAGTTATCGAAGGACCTGTTCGAAACGATGGAAAGAGGCAGTTACATTGGAAGGGAGAGAAGATAGAATCCCAGCATATTTATGACGTTCTCCTGATTAGCGCATCTTTTCCTTTCCCGCTGTTTTATGACCTTCATATTTTCTCTGTTCTTAAATTATCCGTTTTCTATTCAGACCCGAAGTTTACTGTTCATTTATTTATCTTCTTACGGTTTCTTGTATTAACCACGTTATTTTATTTACTGTGTCATAAGCTCAGTATTTTCTTGGATATCATGGGCTCACCATTCTGTCTAATGTTCTTCAGTCCTCTCAGTCGATTATGAATTCCTCAGATTGTTCTTTCCTCCTTTTTTCTTCGTCCTGATTGCTCATCTTGTCTTCCAGCTCGTTTACACCATCTGTTTCCTCGGCTCTCTTTCTAGACGAGTTGTCTTGTTGTTTCGCGGGAGTCGGAATACTTTTTGCTCGATTACCTCTTCCTCGACTATGAGTCAAAGAGGCACGTATCCACGAGGATGTGTGCGTGCAACGAACGCGCGTAAAGGAGAAGAACAGCCTCCGGAGAAGCTCTCCCCGAGGAGGTCGCGAGCAAGGCCACTTGGGGCGTTGCCCTCCTGAGCTGGATCTCAGCCTGTACGGTGGTTGTCCATGCGACGAGGACTCGTTTAGGATCAATCTACTGGGTGTCTATCGCGATATTATTTACATACACTCTGTACAATACGGCATAAATAGATTAGTACTACTTTCCATATTCAGACACGGTTAATCGTTAGGCTTTTTGCTGAAATTCTCATTGGGGGCAAGGCGTTACAAGTTGCCATTGTTAGAGTTCAAAGTAGTTGACATTCAATTCATGCGAACGTGAAATAAAGTAGCATTGAATGTACCATCGGCCATTGTGATCCGAAGGTCATGAATAACATGTTAAGAATAATGATTTGTCCGTGAAATTAATGCGTATGCTAATAATCTATGTAGGTGCTATTGTTCAGGGTGCTTGACGAGCAAATTCATGATACCGCAATTGTTCTAATACATAACTGTTGCATTATTTTACAACCTCATTACGTTACATCATTCTGTAATAACACACTCGTTACCCTGAACTTGATAATTAATGCTAACCTTGAATTTTTGTACAGGTAACGCTGACATCTCATTGCATCGTCATTTATATCATCGCACTTCACGCGTTAGATCACTACAAACTTTTCGTAAGGAACTTTACGTAACTTGCGAACGTCACGTGTTCAAAATGACCCGAGGTGAATTTTAGTATCCTTTTAACGGTTGCGTCGGTGCACGAAACGTGACGAGATATCGAATTGACCATAAGAACTTCGAATTCCACGTTTAACTCGACGAATTCACGTAACGTACCATCGGTTTCCTTGGTGGATTATGTAAGACCACATGGTCTTCGCTGTTACAAAACATGGCGCCAAAGGAAGGTGTTCGATTTAAGAATTATATATTCTTCTAGAAGAAATTTTAATTTATGTTCTGGTATTTATTTTATTCTCTGTTCACAGTTTGTCTTAGAAACACTATGGACAATTTAGACAAGTTACCACTGCATACAAAGTTACTTCGTTGATTATAATTGAAGAGCACACGTTGACACTTACGTAATATGAAGGACAATCATTTTATTACCCGCCAACTCCTTTTGTGACAAACAAAATGACTTGCGCGTGTTAAGCATAGTCATGTGCTAATGCCAGAGTAATGTACATGGAAAAGACTGTAATCGAGACGGTTGTTATTTATCGCATTAGCAAAAATAGCTACTATTCTAAGTCGATTAAAGTACGATAGTTCTTCAGGTAAAAACTTTTCATTCTTACGAATCGATACTTCAAAACTTCTAAAACTTTCACAACTTCTAGGATTATCGCTTTCGAAAGGACTTCAAAGCTTTGGAAATAATCGCACCTTTAGAACTGTCAGGATTTTCAAGACATCTTTTGAAACAGAAATGAATCACTCGCGAAGATAATTGCGTTAACAGCGAGCATCAAATTAGGGACTCGCCGTATCCTCAATCTGTGAAATTGAGTTCATCACGAAGATCCACTAATCTCATTATTTCGTCAGAGTTCCTAAAACGGAGGGCTTCGTTGGTCATAAAATTATGACCCATTTTCCTACATACTTGCCACCGTTCACTTTCCATCGATGAATCAATCGAATGTTGGGTGTAACAGAAACTCTCGGCATCGTAACGATCTCCAGAGTTTCACGACTATCGATTGCCTTCTCTGGACGAGGCAGAAATCGTCGAGCGAAATCTCCGAGCCAGCCTCCAGTGTTTCACTTGGACACGCGCCACTTTTTTCTTACCCGACGATATTTCCATTCCACTTAATTACGTTCTGCATCGATGGGATCCGCGTAAATCGATATCCATTGGTAATCGATTCGCGGTTGCTCAGCCTTTACGGGTACGTCTGTCCACGCTATCTTCCTGGCGAGAAGACTGCCATCCGTTTACTGCATTCAATGCTTATTTTATAGAAGATAAACTTCGTTGTGGCTTCACTGCATTAAAGGACACTGGTGGTTAATCCGATTTCATGGTGAAATTGCTGGCTCGTGCAATCAGGGTGAATCTTTGTTTTAACCGATAGAGTCCTTATCTCATCGGTTTAATCTGAAACATACTTCTCTGCGTTATCGGTACGGTCGCTTTCCGACCGGTGTCCTACTTGCAAGGCCTTCTACTTCGCTAGAAACATTCATCTTACAAAATACCTATAATTACTTTGACACTTTATCAAGTGTATCGATATAATAGTTTTTAATCAACAGAAATTATAGAGTTTCACGTTGAATATTCCGTCAGGATCATGGCTAATGAAGCGATAGATAGATAATTGAGTTTTCCGAGCGCAAAGCACGAGAACAGATCAGAGAAAGTTCGATGAACAGCGAGGCTTCACCTTGAGGTCGCTGGCGTGGTTGTTTTACGGGCTGCTGAAAGTCGTCGAATCGTCTCGGCTCTTTGGCGAGGTCAGGTTCGTGTCCTCGTCCGTCTGTCTCGCTGTCTGTCTGTCCGTCTTCGTGAAGTACTCGTTCTACATTCGACGAGGACATCGCCATTTCCATAGAACGGGCACAGAAAAAGAGCAGCAAAGGGGATGCGAGGAGAATACGAAATTTCTCTCGGTCATCGACTGCGGAATGAAAGGAAGATATTTGGAAAAACAAAATACGAGCAAGACCAAATCGAGGAATTTTAAGAACGGTGTAATCTTGTCGCTGAGATTTATTGGTCATCAAACGTGCGTGTTTCACGAACGAGTAATTGAGCAGTTAAAATTCGACAGCTGCGATACCATTTCCGTGATACTTAACGTCGACAAATTTTAAATTATCGCTGTCATATCGAATTTTTACTCAGGAGAGACGAATAAAACTAACGAGATATCGCGTGGAATAGGTGGATATAAAATCTAGTTCCGTTACGAGTCTCTTCTAAGGAAATAAATCGAAAAATGGAAGAAATGGAGAGATTGAGTGAGTCGTTTAACGTAAATGATTACTCTGGCCTCGTGGAGTATGATGTTCAAACCTGTTGCTTTATATTTTGGTATTAATCTATCATGGAAGAACAGTCCGGTAGAACACGAATGCAATCTTATAATGTAATTACATTACTGTTTTTCCATACCTTCCGATGCTCTATACGATACGTATGCAAGTCCGACCGGATATTTTGCCGACAGTTCTATAAAGCACACGGTCGCTCGAAGGTAAAGTACGCGAACGAGAATAGTTATTTTTTCGCTCGGGCTACACACGCACACTGCGTACACAACAAATGGATCCATTGTTTCGCTCTGTGCGATGGAACTCGTGAGAATCTCCGGACGATAAAACGATTCTCTGCGACCAGGAAAAAAAAGAATCGCTCTAATTTCTTTCGAGGAAGTGAAGGATGTGACCGCATTTTTAAATGAAAAGGGGTTCGTTGATGGACCTTGTACAATAGGACAAGGAGAAATTTTCTATTCGTAATGGATGATAATACTCGAAAACACTTAGCTAAATGAATGTTAACATTTCAGAGCTAATTCATGAAGTACTGAGTCGCTGCTGTTGATGCAGGTTCGAGGAGACTCTTGACATCAGCCTATTAATTAAGTTGTGGGAAATGTTGAGGATGTAACTGGTGCATATCTTGGAAGATTACATAAAGAAGAACAGAAGAGGAAGGGACGCGTCGTGCCATAGCTGCGGGCCCCGGCCTTCCTAAATTCCAACCAGCGCATCCCGTTACTTCTCCTCCACCTGTCCGATCGTCTTGGCCGAGAAACTATTGACTGCTTTCCAGTCTGTTTACCGCACCATTCGTTGCCGAGCATTATGAATGGGACGATCCGGGGAATTGTTGACGATAACGCGATTTCGACGCGTAATGACATCGTGACACCATAAACCTCGTGAAACAATCGGTGTCCTTAAGTTCGTATTCGTTTACCGAGGTTTAATACCACTCTCCCTGTGTTAAAACACAGAGAAAACTATGTGCAATGTGGCACGCGATGGTGATGGATTGTTGAGGACCTTAGAGTATCGTCCCAAAGGACGTCATATAATCGACAGCGTTGCGTGAATCTCACAGTATAGGAGTGTAGCTAATGTGGATGTATTGCAAGAATGTGGGAAGATGACAGGTGAGATAAGATAAGCCTAGATACGAGATGGAATGATTACGGAAAGATGAGAAATGTAACCTCATTAGAGAAACATGAACTACACAACTATGTGCAGAGCCTATTATTTTATCGATGTTATCGTGTTAACCATAGTCTCTGCACTATGATCTGGCACATTCGTACGTGAAATTAAAAAGAATAACAAACATGAAGGTAACTGACTAAGAACATTCTAACGCAAACTAAAATCTTCATAAAATTTCGCATAAAGATAATTTTCTCGTTCCACAGAAACTATTGGAGCAGTCGAATCAGTAAAAGTTGAGAAGAAAGCGAGGCTCTTTAATGCCGAAATGATTGCACTCCCTTTTACGACCATCTTAAGTCCATTTCCACCTTCATTTACGGAACATACTGGCTGGCAAATGCCGCAACAGTAATATTACCCAGTCCCAGCCAGAATTATGTCATTTTAACTGAAATGATCACGAAGATACGCGCATGCTGTGGTATAACGTTGCACTTTACGTAACGACGAAACCATGCCTCTCCTTTCCCGTGCATTGTACCACCGCTTGGGTGAAAATGAATGGCAATGCGTGCATCGTGTTATACCTGCCGAAGGCTGAGGACTCTCTGAACCCTTATTAAGGATTTTAATTCGTACCACACGTGGTCCATTACATCTCTACTGCAGACTTGCATTATATTACAATGAGACTTAAATCACTATGATTTAATAGATGAGAACTATAGATCATGAAGCAGTGTATGACAAAAATATCTTGACAGAAGAACTACTATGACAGAAATATAACAGCCTACTACATTACAATCTGGAGTACGATGGAGGACCTCCGTTAAAAATGAATAAAAACCATTGGCAATTGAAGAGATTACACCGTAATTTATCAGAATCTCTGATACGAAGAGTAGTCGATAACAGAGTTCCACAAATCAATCATATCTCGTAAAGGAAGAATATTGGCCACGTGTAGGTACACGTGAGCCGAGACGACGCGTCCCTAGAGCAATTCGTGATACAGAGTTGCCCAATCGTTTCCCTATGAGAGGAACGGCACGTTTTCCACCAGGTGGTTTAGGTGCGCAAGAATGAAGCACGGTAATGAGTTGGCAATGCGTGCCCCATAGAGACACCGGACCTCAGATTAATTCCGTTTTCTTGCGAAATAGAACGCGAAGAACGAAAGTGTCCGGCGCTCTCCCGAGAAACACTTGCGAAATCGCTATTCTGCTTTTTCTATATCTTTTCGCTAATTCCCCGATGATTCGAGGGAAATTTCTTTTCGTAACGCTTCGCGATTAAATGCGCGATAAAAAGTTTACGAGAAGATGAATTGAAACTTGTTTTTTCTAGCAGACAGATAGAAAGTAAATATAAAGTTTAACAATTCAGTGAACGTTGATAGAGAATTAAAGTGCCTCGTGCGAAAAATTAATACTGTCGTAAAAAGCAGCTTTACCTCTTAGTCGCGTGTTTTATTGCTAAGGCTCATTATAATTCAAGCGTTTTATAACTGTTTCCAACTTAGAGTTCATCTTTCTCGTTGAGATGTTCATTTATTTATTCAATCGAACGGTGTGCCCGCTGCTTTTGCAGTAGTCAAATCGGCCAGAGGAGCTAAATTTCGTCGTTAGAATGTTAATTGAGTCGAATGTTGGTCATAGAAAGATCTGACAAGATTAGAATTTTCGGTAGGATAAAATAATGCCGCCTTCAGATGTCAAATAGCTAATCATTTTTTTTCTTTATTAGCACGTTCCTGTTTAAAATACAGTATCCTAAATATCTTTCGTGTTCGTGAAACTTTCGATTCAGGACGAATTGCTTTCCGAAGTAATTAGGTGACGGCACAGAGGTTTCATCGGTATTCTCGATACAAATGACTAATTCTTCCTAGAAACAATGGCACTATTAACGAATCTACACTTTTCAATCACGTCTCTACGACTGTACAAGTTATGATGTCAAGGAGAATCTTTTATCGACCGTTAAGCTTTAGATTGATGCCATAAGCACTGTTTTATGGGACTTTTATGTAACCGAACCGTGTTAGACTTCGCATATTTCGAAAGTAATCATTGTCTGCTATAAATGCCAATTTACCATTTTGTATTAGGAATATTAAGTGAGTCGTTTATATAAACATGTTCCTCAAACTTTAAACTTCGAACCGATGTACCATAAGCGCTATTTTACGATAGTTTTATGTAATCAATTCGTGTTAGAGTGTTTCGAAATTGGTCATTGTCCGCTATAATTGACAACGAGTCATTTTGTATTATGAATGTTAATGAAAGGGTTACGTGATTATTTTTGTTACACTCTAAACTTCGGATTGACATACCGTAACCGGCACTTTTATGTCATCAAATCGTGGCAGACTTTCTACGTTTAGAAATCAGACATTTCATATTCAATCTAATCGATCTCATAAGACGAAAGCTTCAAAATTTATTCTGTGCCATCTGTTCCATTTGTCTTGCATTACTGTAGCAATGTGGTTATTTTCTCTGTCGCAAGAAGAGCTGAAGTTTCTGTATCGCAGAAAATTGCTTTACGATTTTCCTGTCGATCGAAAGAAAAAAAGCTACGTACCTGTTTTTTCCAACGAGGAACATAAATCGTGATTCTTCCGTGAAGATTTCTCGCAGGAAACGCAGAAAAAGACCGATGGTTCTTGCGCGTTACCGAACCATCGAACCGAGAACAACGATGATGATCAAGAATTATCCTTGCCAACGGAATAAAGCTGTTGCTAGGAATTTCATGAAACGGTCGCGATAAAAAGGACGGTAAAACGCGACAGGGTGGCTTCCCCGAAGAATTTCGATGAGCTGGGAAAGAACGCATTTCCTGTTGCCGAGAAAACATCGAATCAACAAGCACTTTTTCAAACTTAAACGCATTACAATTTGCAGGTTCAAACAATTGTGCTCTTCATTTGTTTCTGCTCAACGATGGAGTTTTCAACATCTACTCCCGAGTAAACAGCAATGAATCAACGAGTTTCAACGGGGAGCAAGTTTTATTGCTTTACATACACGCGAGTGTCCAACTGGTTACATGTACGTGTGTCTGCAATTAACAACATCGAGTGTCGGTTGCATTTGCCATTTGTAAGCTGTTACGTAAAGGGACTCTCTTCGAGATCCGAATTACATAACTGCGCCTTTCCTTCAATAATCATCGGGTATACCGAGAATGATTGATACCATAATGGGTGCGTGGATCTCAATTTGCTTTCCCCGTTTGTTCGCGACGGAGACACCTATGGTTATGGATTTTGTGTAACCAGTCAAGGTGGTAACAGTATCGTGTCAAATATTTGTCCCACTTTGTTCTCGGTCCCAGATAAATGGTAATCGATCTGTGCACGTTTACTCGACACCGACAAGGTGGATTGCGTTATAGGAAACGATCTTCTTGTTTTTATCACCCGTTTCGTCTTCCAAATGTGTCTCGCCGTTCCACTGTATCATCTTACGAGTTATAAAATACGTGGATCTCCGTGTTAACGTTTACACTCGGCCAGCGAACCGTTCTGGTGCTGCTACAGGGCTGGATTAGTCATTAAGCTAAATGAACACGTGCTTGGAGCATCCAGGAAATTGGACACTAACTTTCCGTCGGTCGATTTACCACAGAATATTTTTCTAAGACTGATAAGTTTCTTCGAGATCACAAAGTATTCACCTTCCCGTTAAATTCCAAGTGACCAAACAATAGAAGACGTCGGGTCTGTGCTGACCCACTCACGGACCGTGTCGGTACTCGAGATAATTATAACGAGCTCGCAGAACGCAGTTTGAGTAATTCATATCAGAAATGAATTCGGTCTCGTTTTGAAACGACGATGATAACGGTGTTGGCATTGAATGGCTACGTGACACGAGAACATGAAAGTGCGATCATGTTTACGGAAGTCACACAAGTATTTGTGTCACGTTTTAATGCTCACTGTTCATATTCCAATCGACGAATTATCGAATTCTTTACGAATGTATTCTCTGTAATTTTTATAATGCTGATTGGGTGAATTTGATTACCCAAATATGTGAGCTAACATTCTGAGACACAAATTGTCATAAAGAAACGTTTCTTGAATATCTTTAATAGTTTGCACATATAGTATTGTTTGATTCGTTAGTACAGTGTTGTCCATTTTACAGAACCAGGGAGGAGAGACCATCCAGAATGATCCTAACCGTGACCGAGGACACACCAGCAGACATGCTGGCCGGTAGTATGGAGCTCCTAGTCCAGTTACCTCGGGACCATCACGTCCAGACGGAAAGGGTCACGGTACAAAGAAGGTAGTAATCGTAATTACAAAGCAAAAGTATTTTTCTTTGTCCTTGAACCCGGAGTATCAGTATCCACATATATGATCTCCCACAAAGATCACTTTCCATCACTCTTATCCTTAGTCTCCACATCGTATCTCTCAGACCCAACCCTCTGAATGTTCCATCTCAGAGCCAGCTTTCACACCTACATGTCCACTCTCCATATTGTCAATTGTCTCTGGCTGTCCAGATAAAAAGAAACTTAATAACTCACGTTTTCCTGCATCGTCATCTTCCTGGCAAGACAAAACAGCTGCACACCGTGGATTTAGTGTCTCGCATCTCCGAGAGTGTCGACGCAATGTCGTGCAACGGTGCAGGAATAATGTGGCATGACTTATTATTTCCGCCATGAATAGTGGTAAGGGTTTCTTGGATCTCTCTCTGTGTGTTCACAGTACGCCGATGATGGACCTCCTCGTGCAGATCGCCACGGCTCACAAATTGGCCGCTTCTAGCTACACCCTGCAAGCGATAGGAGAGCGAGGCATGGTTCTATCTCATCAACCCAACACGCCAATCGGCGCTTTGGATGCACTTCAGGTACTGTTATCCAATCATTTTTGTCACTCTACTAACTGTACATTCGTTTCGATTTACCGCTCGTGCAGATCCTAAGAAACGTGTAATTTCTTGCAGGTTTAACAGTATCGAGTACCCTGCTGAACTCTGAACATTTTGAGAATCCATCTTGCAGCGATAGAAGCGTCTATTAAAAGTTTTCTGCAAATGTATGGTTTGTTGTCTTAGCTGAGATTCTCAAAACTTTCAGAGCATTGCTGCAAAGTGCTCTTAATTAATAAGAATTAGCGAGGATGTAGCAGTTATTCTGTACACTTCAGCAGCGTTGTGGATAGCATTTTATAACAGATCCTGACAGGAAGTTGCAGTTCCATCGTCCTGTTTTTCTGCTGCACGAAATTGAGGGTTAGACTTGAGGAAGCGACTTGAAATTCTGTGAATCGCGTGATCCTTAACTCTTCAACCGTCACATTAGGTTTCTTCTAATCCCTGCAAACTGTTTCGCCGACTTCTAATCAAAATAGCAGTAATTCTTTTCTTCGAGGAATCACATCTACCAATTTTTGTACCTTTTGTTTGATAAAAAGTATGTGCTTCTTGGAAGAAAATCCGTCGGCGAGCAGGATGATCTTAATAAGTGTGTTTAGTCTGATAGCCTGTGATCAGCCTTTTCAAAGCAACGAAAGCAGTTCGTGGAACGAATAAGAAATATTTAGACAAACTATAATGAATCTAAGTGTTACAATAATATGATAATTATATATTTATGTTGCAGGTGAAGCTATTACCAAAACAAGGCACCTTCGTGCCAAGGAAAACGAAGCAAGCTAATCAACCTTTTGAAACAACATTTAGGTTACAGGTAAAAATAATCTCAGTCTCGTTGTAATCTTTACATTGCCACAAGCAACTCTTTTATCTGCGATCGATTGCCAGATAGTCAATGATTGTGGTGATTGTGCAACTGCTGCAGGTACATCTACCAAGAAACCAGCTGTACGTGTCCAGAGTCAGTCCGAAGATGAATTTGGGTGAGATTCTGGACGAGGTGTGTCGCGAGAAAAATCTGGACAAGAACAAGTATGAGCTACGCCATCCAGGTATACACAAACCTAAGTTCACAAAAATTATTTCTACTGATGGCATTTGCCAATTCCTTGAATGTATAGATTAATATGTATTCTGTTTTTGAGGCACAGCAATTATCAGAAAGTGGAAAATGTCGTAACACCGTTACGTGGAAATAAAAAATTTATTATCCAAGTTTCACCTACGCAGAGAGTTGCTAGATTAGGTTATTTGGTGTGATTGGCGAACATTGGTTGTCCCGGAAAACATGGTAGTCTGAGAAGGAAATAGATTTATTCGTTCACTTTTGATATTTAAACCGGTAACACTGACCAGTTTTGTCCCCAACTGGTTTGCTCGTTTAATTTATTTATATTTTTAATAGCGTATTTCTTCTGCAAGAAAAAACGTATCAGCAGCGTAATAAATTAATTTGGAATCGATGAAATAAAATTCGTGTGGTCATATCTAAAAAAGAACAATGAGAAACAGCAACCTTGCTGTCCCATAACAAAGGGAAACAGACTCGTTCATAATGTGTTTTCCACACTATCGATTTATCTCTAAACCAGTCTTAGCCTTTTAGTAAATAGATTTTGAAACCGTCAAAAATGGGTTTCTATCTATAGATTGTTTTCGTTAACAAAGTGCCACGTTTATCTCCTTCAGATAGCGGCTAAGTCTTAAAATTCGATAGCATGCTAATAAAACGCAGTTTCAAATGAAGCCCAGCTTACGAGACTCTTGTTCCCTCTAATAAAGATTACTTTATTACAAGTATTATTCGAGGTGTGTCATCAAAATGACCAAAAACAGTTGATTCACCGTACAAAAATACAGATTGTGGCAGTGTTATTTGTGTGATTAGTGCCTGCATCAATTTTCAGAAATACGTGTCAGATTTGCGGCCAGAGAAGTCACTACCCGTGTGCTTTGATTGTGTTTGTAGAAGGGTGTGTATATGGCTTCTGAAGCCATCCAGATCATGCATATAAACGCGTACATATACTCTACGTTCTCAATCCAATTTTCTTGAAATTCTGCATTCCTGTTCACCGAGCGGATGAAAGTCTTCCTATGAGTCTTCAGCATGAGCGTGAGGCCGTTCAGGATTTTATGGCGGTGATCGCAATTGACTCACCCTATACATCATTGATTCCAAGTTCTACACTCTGCCACGCTCGACGACCACAACCAGATTTACCAGTAAATGCCTCGACCATTTTCCCGAAGCTGAAGTGTATTCTCGATACCGGCAGGGTCCCCCTCGATTATATACCTTGCGTACTTACGTGTGCCGGTGCACGAGATATTTCAGTTAGAGCTAGTTACACCGGCCAGTTGTGTTAAGATCGCTATCGCAAGGTTGCCGGTCCGCCTGGCTCTTGCACTTGTTACTCTTAGTCGTTAAGCGTGCATACTCCGCGTTACTTTCCTCCTGGTCGTCCTCGCGGAAGCGTCAACTCTCGCGTTGCTCTCTTACGCTCCTTGGACCTCGAAGAACCTTTTCTTGTCTAGTCTGATCGATTCTGGCAGCAGGGCCTTTATGACTTGTGAGTTCATTGCCTGAAACTTGGGAACTTTGAATCAAAGACACGTTTGATCCTTTTCCAGTTTACTAAATATAATGAATCTTGTGATCAAATCTTAATATTACAGTTTTATAAATGGTGAATTACTTTTCAGCCAACTTAGAGGAAACTCTGGACTTGTCGCTGACACTGCAAGACTATCACCTCCAAGAAGTAACACTGTACGCGAAACAGGGAAGATCGTTGGGTTCAGCTCTGAGTACTCAGGACATAATGGCTCTGCAGAGACAAGAGGAGCGGCGCAGGCAACAGGCAAAGCAGGGTGTGTTCGGTTTCGTTTTCAAGAAGTCGAAGGAGGGGTCTCTCAGTACGGATAGCCTAGGTGGACGTAGCGCATCACCGGCAAGAAGCGACGAAACTGGTAGAAGCACGAGTCCTCTCCAACCACCTGCTAGGCCTCAAAGAAAGCGAAGACCCGCACCAAAACCACCTATTCAGGCGCAAGCTGAAGTTAGCAACGTTAGTAGAGTTTGCTAGTGTATTGTCCTGCTTCTGCATTTGGGGATACAACACCTTTCTTGTCATTCTAGAGCAGAGAAGAGAGTTCTGCAGATTCCAGCAAAGACAAGGTAGTGATCAGTCATAGCCGTAACAGCAGCGACAGTTCTGGATATCATGAAGCCTCGGTTTTAAGCGATAACCCAGACTCTTCTGGAAGACTTCCGGAAACTTTACCTAGAAGAAATAAAGTTCCGTTGGAAACGCCAAGAAAGCTGGCGCAAACGTCGCAATCTAGCAAGAGCCTGAGCAACTTAGCTACTGTTCCTGGTACGCTTAGCCATGGAATTAGCAGTACCTCTTTAAGTTCCACAGGTAGAATTATTCAAAATTTAATGAAGGTGAACATCAAGTAGAATTAGTTATACATAGGAAGTCCTGTACCAATTCTTTTTAAATAATATATCAGAATTTTGATTGCGGTTTTCTTTCCAGGATTACGAAAGAAAAGAGCAGCACCTCCTCCGCCAGTAACAAGGCCTCTGTCATCCGCAATCTCCACCCAAGGATTAGAGCGCATCGTCGACTCTGAGGAGTCTTTAACGTCAGATATGGATCCTTCGAAACCTCCTTCTGACATTAGTGCTTCCTCCAAAGCTAACTCGGACATCGAGGAACGTCCAAAGGCAAGCTCCGACATCGGAGTGACCACCAAATTGTCTTCAACGGTGGACTTTTCCAAATCAGACTCCATAAAAGTGGACGCAGACCTGCAGTGTAGCAAGTCAGACGTCGAACCGCGTCACAGATCAGGATCAGTAAACGTTAAGTTATCAAACACGAAGCCAGGAAATCCTACACCCGTAGGAGACGCTCCTGTAGATGCTAGAGTATCGCGAAAAAGAGGTAAGCTAGTTCGCAGTTATGGTAGCATAGAGAACAATCTACCCTCTTATAGTTTTGTATCGAGGAACAGTCTTGAGAACGGGGAGAATGGAATGGATATCACAAAGAAGCATAGAAGTCTGTTCGACCCAGAGAAAATGAAGCTACATTCGAGAATAGAAGAGTGTAGAGCAGAGCGTAGATCAAGTTTCAATAGGTCCACTGATTTCTCAGACGATCTCAATACTTTCCATAAAAGTGCATCAGTTATGTTAAAAGCTAGATCTTTAGACAATGAAGACAATCCCAAGTCACGCTCTAAGCTTCAGAAGTCTCAGAGTTTTGCCTGTTCAAACGTTGTTGCCCCCAAAGTTAAGGATTGGTCGAAAACGTCGAGCTTTCAGGAAAGCAAGCTGTTCTCTCACCAGGACTCGTTTAAATCACAGAGTAGGTTAGTCAAAATGCAGACCATTTTTAATTTGGATGATATAGAAACAGACATAGAAAATATGTCTGATGGCGTACTGGAGAACAGGTTCAATCCCGTGAATCTGCACGCGGATAATTATATTTGCAATGAGAGGTGCCAAGCTAAGCCACTGAAGCATAGTTCAAGCTTCCAAGTTGGGTACAAATTAAGAGAAACCAAAATAGTGAGCAACTTTGAAAAGCCTAAGTTGTCAGGCTCGCAAAGCTTCTGCATTAGAAATAGTATTGACGATAATTCGGAGTTCGCTAAGGATGAACAGCCTAGATTAGGAGATATAAGCACAACAAGGTGTTACGACGGTTTAATTTCTTCAAATCTTAATGAAGAAACGTTTGGAAGGGCAACATCCATTCGCAGATCTAATCTCTCTCCACCGCCTTTGAGTAGCTTGCACATATTTGCAATTTCGAAGAAGCCTTTAGATATTCCGGTAACAACTATAGAGCCTACAGTACCCGATAACGTTGATAAATTACCGTCTTTACCTATTATCCAACACAACGAATGTAAATTAGATTTGGAGAAGAAGTTGAGTATCCTGGAACCTCCACCACCTGGTTTAGTGAGTCGAAAGGAGTCCACTGAAAGTTGGAACAGATTTCTAATTCAGTTAAATTCTATATTGGAAAGTAGAGCTGGAGAATTCGTTTAAATGTTATGTTCTACTCTATTGAAATACCCATTCCATTCTCTACCTCAAGATTTATTGCAGAATTTGTACTACTTTCAAGATTCTTAATCATCAGAAATCATATTTATATATTGCAAATATATAGCAAACCGTATTGCTTTGTATTTTTAAGTTTTCCATGTACATATTCTATCACTATGGTAATAATGTAGATGGTGGCTAAGAAAACAAGAGCTATGTACACTTGTTCTTAACCACTTGTAATAGTAATCACTTCTATTGCATGTTCCTAGAAATTTGTTTTTCCACAATGCACAAGAGTTTCTTAGATATTTCCATTAATCTGCTTTTGCTAACTTTATCCTTTGGTGATGGTACCCTCATTTTTCTTTTCCTTTGAGTGTAGTTGGAGAACCCGTTCCACTTCCAAAGCCTAGAAAAGCACCTTCGAGGCCTGAGGTGCCGAAACGCAAGTTACCATCACCTTTGTTAAGTAAAACCCTCAGTAGTGACTCCGGCGAAGTAGACTGCTCGTTGAACGCTGCTACACACCCCAGCACTGCAACAAATGATGCGAGTTCAGACGTCGTTGATGAAAAAAACAGCATTCAGTCTAGAAGAAACTCCGAAGAAAAGTTGGAGACTGCCTCCAATTATTCATCTAGTGAGAACGAGGTATTTTATACACCCGGAGTGGACCAAAGTCAAGCAACCTTCGATTACGACTCGGTAACTGTAGAAAAGAAGGATGAAATACAAGTAGATAATAAGGTGAATGAAAAGGAGGAAGTACAGAGTATCGAAGAAAAGAAAAAGACAGAAAATTCTTCTACCAAGCATCAGAATTTAACATTACAAAAAAGTAAACCGAATTCTACAGCAGTAAAAGGGAGTTGTGCTGTGATTTCAACGATGCCAAAGTGTGAACACCTGGACACGCTGAAGGTTGACAATGCACAGACACAGAGTAAGGAGAAGGAAGGTTTAAAGGATCCAAAACGTACAAGAATCTCTAGAACAGCGTCAAAGACAAATGATTTTGAGGTGAACACACTAGAGAGACAAAAGAGACATTTAACTTCCCAGTTAGAGGATATCACGTTTGCTTTGAACTTGAATGTGGCGTCCAATGCTGGCTTATTGTCTGATCAGTCGAAAAAGCTTGAGGAAAATGTACAGCGATCGGAGGATAAGCAGGACAATAGTTTCCAGAGTGTGGGTGGAGGAAAATCTCATCTTGGAATGAATGCATCAGGTGCATGTTGCATATCACTAATGCGTGTGGTGAAGGGCACTAGTTTTGTATCAGTTTTCAGGCAACTAAGCCTCAGATTATTTTGTATATAGTTGAATTAGTAGAGATTGAAATTCTAACACTAAAAGTTTTGATAAATTATTTTTTGCTTATAATTTTTTATCTAAATTTGTCGTGACTTGGAAGGAATAGTTAAATTTAATATTTTATTCTTGTACTTTTGTCGTACCATATTATCATTACATTATTGTATTACAGATAATGACCTTTCAGAAACGGATGCTTTGCTGCGAAAGGTATCTGACACCCTCTCTAACTCCCTACCAATTCCATCCTCCAAGGTAACTTCGACCGAAACGAAATCGGAAACGACAAACATCTCCAAAGACACAAATCAGAAGAGTAAGGATTCCCCGGATGCTTCGGACAACACCAATGCTTTGAATCTGACTGCAAGTTCCCAGCAAGACACGTCAGATTATGTATCAGCCGCTGATGAAGATCTGTCCATTGTTGAATGGGAGTACCAGCTTCCCGCTCCGCCCAGTGCCTTCAGAGACAGCTCTTCTCCAGTGTTCAACAGTTTTGATGAAGTCGTTCCACCAACTGAAACTGTCAGTGACTCTAAAAAGGAGCACGTTTCAGACAATAGTGATCCAAAGAACTCGTTAAATAAACATTCTAAGAAGGAAGAAAGCAAAGATGACCTAAAGAAAGAAGCAATTCGTGAAAAGTTGATCAAACAAGGTGAATCAAGTCTGAAGAAGGAAGTGATCAACGAGTTGGAGAGCAAAATAAATTCATTGCCTCAGACTGTAAAGGATGTGGATTCGAGGAGGTCATCGAATAATTCCTCGGCACCGAAAGTAGCTCCTGTCGATAACACCTTGTCGAATTTCACCATCACAACTTATTCTAGACCGAAAAGTTTAAACATATTCGAGGAGGTGGAGCAGCAATCACGTCAAAAAAATTCAGACGAGAGGTTTATTAAGTCGTTTGCGACGTTGTCTAGGAACCAGGACAAAGATCTGACTGATTTCAGTTCGAGAACACAGCAGGAGAAGAAGAAGGTGAACGTTGATGAAGAGAAACAAGAACCAAAGACGCGAACAGAAACCTTGCAGAGGTGGCAATCTAGCAATGAAAAGAGCAACATCCAAAGGTCGAAGAGTTACTTGTCTGTATGTGACAAGACCAAGTTTCAAGGAAATACTGAGGATGAGAATGCTAAAAACAGTACAGATTTGGAAACGGATGCTGGGATGAAGAAGGCAACGAGCATCAATAATCTGAATTCAACTACAACAAAGACCAACGAAAGATTCTCAAGGTGGAGGGATAACATTTTGAAGCGGCAAGAAGAACCTACCAAAGAAACTCAACTGCAATCTGTACAGGTAGTTATTCCTGAGCCTTTGAAGAAGACAATTCGCTGACATTCTTCTTGGATGTGTTTCAGGTGCTGAAGAGCATTTTGCCGCAGTTGAAAAATGCTCAACAGGCGGAGGAAAATGTGTCCAAAGAATTGAACAGTACAGTATTACACGAGAAAACGAGGTAGATATCTTTCTTTCTGCGGATGTACTTTTAACACTTAAATATCCAAAAAAGAATTAATCTTACCTTCTGTTTCAGACCGGAAACTACCACATCTAACGAATATTCGATGGAACCGAAAGTAGTTTCAGCTCGTGATCCTCTAGCAGCACCAAGTAACCAGCCATCGAAGCCAGAACCTAAGAAGGTGACATCAGAATCAAATACAAAGCGATACTCCTATGCAGGACCTCCTACGATTAGTTTGGGTAGCTGGTCAGAGCGGCCAAGCGTTAACGTTCAGATAAAAAAGGACACAGATTATAAATTTGGAATTAATAAGACCCAGAACAAAACCGTCGTAGACATAAACGGCAGTAAGAACGAGATGGATAGTTCCAATAATGTAGAGGATATCGTAAAAGCACAGAGGAATAAATTTGAAGCTTCAGACAGGAGGGAGCCTAACGAATTGACTAAAAAATTAATCACTCATACCACAGCGTCAGGCTTTAAGAAGCCAGTATTAAACAAAGTCAATGTAGATCTAAAACCTGTAAACACCGATAAACCTGTGGTGACAGGAGTAGAGCTGAAGAAAAGCTTTCTCGAGAACAAGCAAGATGATAATGTTATAGACACCTCGCCTGTCAACTTCAAAGAATTATCCAAAACGTTTGATCAGGATATTTACCTTCGACCTAAACCAAAACGCTCTAGCGTGACTCGGCGCTCGGACCTGCAGCTAGACAAAGATTCCAGTAAACAGAACGGACACGTTAATTTTGATCAGTCTTCTACGAATGGTTATCAGGATAATTCTAATGTCAAAAGATACACCACGATCGTAGGGGTGCAACCTCAGAATCAGGGCAACATCGCTTTCAGAAACGCGATTAATGTCAAATGCAGTCAGCAAATGCCTGTGGTGAAAGGATTTAAAATTTCTAACATAAAACTAAACGGGGCTCAAGAAAGTCAGAATAATTTGCCGAAAGAAAAACCCAAAGAATTATCGAATAACGATGTACCGAAACCTCCGACGATGCCTGTAATTACTGGCGTCACGTTGAAAAGTACGAGACCGAAGTCTATGCCTGTCCAAATGGACTCGCGAGACATGTTGCTGGAATCGATTCGAAATTTTGGCGGTAGAGAAAATTTGAAGAGCGTAAGCACTTTATTGTGACTAGATTAAATGAATGAAATAATAGTTAAGATTATTGGTTATAATAAATTTATATTTACAGGCTGCGGAAAGGAGTTAAGTTCCCTTAACGCTTAACTATGAATTAGCTCCATCAACCCTTTTGCAAGAGTGCATCGTCTTGAAGATCAAAAGAACAACGAAGATCATTCCATGAATGCTTTGGTGCTTCAAATTGTACAGCTTTAGTGATAGGAGATGATTGACGGTAATAGGAAAGAGATTTATTTATATATTATTGAAAAAGTTCAGTCAATGATTATCTATGTCTCTTCTGTTTCACTCTCTTCCCTATTAAATGTCAAACTTCTTACAAATACTTTATTCGGTGGTTTGATGGCCAATAGTCTGTAGGAACAACCAACGTTAGTCGCTCACGTGTAAATATCGTATGTAAAAAGTTGGACAACTGGAAAGGAAGAGTTGTCATTAAATGATCGATTAAAAAAAAATGTACATATCGTTTAGGCGTGTAAAGCGATAGGGAGAGTCTTGTATTACCATGTCCAAATAGTCAACGAATTGTCTAAGTTCGTTTGAAACGATGTTGCTCATTTACACGACACAGTCTACGCAATTCTTGTTAAGTTTTTCTTTTTCTTCTTTTAGTTCTTTTTCAGCCATTCGGTTCTAACTTCGGAGGAGTAGTCGAAGTTAGATCCGAAAGGGTGGGTCAATATTGACTAACATGTCCTATTCTTTACAATTAACATTAAGTTTCTATCACTGGGACCAAAGGTGACATCTTTTATTTTACGTACTGTACAACGAATTCAAATGCAGCTAGGGTGTGTGTATAACAATGAACGATAGTAGACCTTATTATTTTTCTTTCTTTTTTTTGTTTATTTGTTGAGAACAATCTGGTCAATCATAATTTGTTTGAAACGTGTGTTAACGAAGCTTACTTTATAATTTGTGTGTGCATACAACAACGAATGATTATTAAACAATCAGTTTCCGTTTTCTGCGTTTATGATTATTCACTGTTAAGAAAGAACGAGGAATTGTTTTGTTAGAAAACTTTGTCCAAATATTGTAACAAAGCTTCAATGATCGAATAGAAAATATATTGTCAATTTTTCGTTGATAATATTGTTTGAGCAAAACAGATTACAAAATTATTATCGTTAATTAACCAGTTTGGAAGATCCGATTGTTTTATAGATCTTGAACGTGAAAAAAAATTTTATAGCAAATGGTAATCGCAGCGAAAGAACGTATTATTTACTGTAAATACCTTACAATGTGTTAATACTGTATTTAATATTATTTTCCTTTTGCGTAAAAATATATTACGACGACACATTTATTTATACATGTTATTATTTATAGTTCCATTAAAAATAAAAAAAGAGAACGCTGATTTCTATTTAAAAATTACCTAAAGGGAAACTCGGGAACTACAGAAGTGATAATGACCTCATATGTTCGTGTAAATACTTTAATGGTTCATACAGTAGTATCAATTCAGATTAAATTATTGTTGTTTAACAATATTTTATATTTATATAAAAATAGCACCTATATATTTTACAACAATATATATCTAGTAATAAGTTGAAAATCAATTTTGAAATATTATTTTTCAAAAAGTTTTCTTTCTCGATTTTATATAACTTTAATATATATATTTGAAATATATAAAATAGACAAAGACAATATCTTAAAATATAGTTTGCAGGCACTGTGAAATGATAAAATTTACATAATAGCTAAAAGTATTGCCACGATAATGGAAGATATGTATTGCCACCAAACAATCACAGATTTCTAAAATAATAATATGTAAAACATTTTTAACATCGTCATTCAAATAGTAACAGGTACAGTTTTGTAAAACTTTTGCGATTGCACTAATAGTAATCGTAGTCTGTGCCCTTATTTTTAATAGAGAGATCTGGATCAGTCATCAGGTATAGGAGTATTGCAATTACCGTGCCATAATTTTGTTTCAGAATCACATTTTGAATAATAATTAAACACGTCGGTGTAGCCACGATCCCTCCACCACGTGCACAACTGCTTGTTCCATCCACAATCAATAGTGTGAATCAGTTCAGGTCTTTCCATTCCCAAAAGAGTGTAAAAATCTTGATCTCCCAAATGACCCTATAAACAAATTACCCAATGACAATTTATTAAAACAAAATTATCAAGTCGGAGTTGTTACCTTAAAGTGATACTTCTCAGTAATGGAATTAACACTTTCATTTCTAACAATTTCATGGTAAATGGAGGAATTTCGTAATCTATTAAGATTGAATAGCACTACTCCACTGTTATAACCAGGATAACCACCTGAACTAGCAGGTTCTCCAAATAATGTGTTAGGATTCTTATTACGATATAAATATAAAACATGTCTGTATACTGGGGTAAGTTCTGGAGCCAAGCCAAATAATGCTTCATTTCCAAAACTATTAAATTCTTCAAAGAGTTCCTTAATATCTTTGCGAAATTTTGTGTCTGCATCAAACATTGCTGCAACATTTTGCTCAGGTGGAGCTATCCGATGCAAACCCAATGATAAGAAAAACAAAGCATCAGAATAATATGTTCCAGGTTTGCTACTAAAATGGGGAGACATTGCAGATATAATATCTTCCAGTTGCAATGCAAGTTCATGAACATCATAATACTGCACCTGAAATGAAAGAAACACAACAACCTATTAATAAAAATTTGAGAGAATCATATGTCAGATGTTAATGGATATACCTTCATAAACTTTCCTGTAGACAATAAGATATTCTCTAAAACTGTACGTGCAACTTCCTTACTGTCATCATCAGTTATTACATGAAATGCAATATTGACAGAGGATAGTCTGAGTAGAGATTCAGCAAAAATTTCAAACTTTCGTTTCATCGGTGAATTACTAGCAACCTTTGTGAATATGCACCAAACGTTATAGTACATATTTTTGCTCGCAGTGAATGTTGCAGGCATTGTATACTGTCCATTGTTCGACTCTGTGGTCGAAACATTTTCTTGCTCAGAAGTGTGTAATACCCAGTGTATACCATTGGACGTTTGATAACAGTAAAACAGCACAAGAAACACAGCCAAAAGTGTCAAATTGATCAACACCTTGCGTAGCAAGAGCATTTAATTATCTATTCATGATCAAGTTAACTTCTTACATAAAGTAATGAGTTTCTACACTAAAACTTCTTCAAACGTTTAAACAGAAGCATTAATAATGTTAATTATTTTTAAGTAATGAATCACTTTGTTGCAGTGCTAAAATCTATTCACTGATTTTCACAACATTGGGTTCATAATTCCATTCAATTCTTCATTCATTAAATTACAATTACTTATTTTTTACATGTGATAACGAATACCATACTTTAATCAAAAGTAAAGAAATAAATACTGACTTCAGAACTGAAAACAAAACAATTCACTATCTTACTACCTTTACAGAAAACATTGTACGAGCGTATGGTCTATGGTTTCGAAACGAAGTTTTTTATTTTGTCAGTTCCCTAGCTCATCGCTAGATGGTACCACGCGAAGCTTTTTCGGAAAGCGCAGAAAATTCAAACTCTGGTGTACATGATAATGAGATGTACTTCAAAATAATTAAATTACTGTGCTTGCATAGTTCCTGGAATCACAATTCTGCATTTTAAAGTCTACAGGGATATGGTTTTTCGGTGATTAATCCTTCGTGGCATGCGCGGGCGGCGCGTAGGAGGAATATACCCAATAATGAGTATGCAAAATCGTCAATTACTCACTTTCTGAGCACAGTTTATGAACTTTTATGATTAACGAATGGTCAGCAATGCATTATTTACATGGTTCGATCATGAAAGTTCATAAATAATGTTCGGGTAATGAGTAATTAATTATTTTGTGTCAGCATTGCGATACGTACGCGAGCCGCCTATGTCAAATCTACTGCACATGAAAAGTGCAATATTTCGGCACTTTGACGACGTAGTATGGTTCCTGACGCATTTAGAAACAAATTTCTATTAGGGTTTGATGCG